AGCTTCTTTCATTCAATATTATATTTATTAGCTTCATCTGCATTGCTGAGTGTAGCTGAGTCTGTTCATTTGCATTGCTTTAGTGTGTTGCTGTAGGACTATACCCCCTGATGTATTTACCCACCCTATCACTTGTGGCTATGAAGCTGTTTTCAGTTTAGCATTATTACAAACATAGACATGAATATATGTGGAATCTTTTCCAGCTAATTGCAAACTTTTCTGCTAATTATTTTTTCATATTTACAACTCAAGCCCTTTAAGGAAAAGATCATTCCTTGACCATTCTCTATCATTCTCCCTCAGGGCCCAACACAAAATTGCAGAAGCTACCTTATAAATATTTACGCAGTGATGGATAGATACAAATCAGGCTCCCTGTCCACATACCTCGGACGCAGGCCACACCTGCCAGCAGCAGGAGCAACGTTCCAGCATACTGCGAAAACGGTACCACTTTGGACAGACTCAAGTAACCTAGGAGGGGAGAGAAACTATGTGAGAAGCATTCCCCACTGCCTCTCAGACCCTCTTCCCAGTTCCACCCCAACCTCCACCCCACACTCCCTCAGTGGGACAGCCATGCCTCTGAGGAGGAAGATGCCTAATGGAAGAGGGAAGCCAAGCCATCCTTGCAGGTCCCCTTTCCTCTTTAGAAGGTGGGCTCATTTGCCAACAACCTGCCCATTTCCTGTCCCACCACCTTTGAAACCACACTGACCTTTCCTGTATAAGTAGAAGAAGGCGAAGGGAGAGGAGTAATAAGAGATGGACCAGAAGACTGAAGCCTGCAGCAGAGAGACAGGGACAAGCAATCAATACACACACACACACACACACACACACACCTGCTATTTCCAGGCCTAGGCTCTGAGCAAAGTGGATAACCTGAGGGATATCACATGAAGTACTTATTCTGTGCATGGCATTAGGCACACAATAGGTGCTCAATATCTGTTGCAAGGCAATGTGTCAGAGCATAACAGGCTGGTAAAAGTAAGCACAAGTTCTGTCTTCTTCCTATTATCATCTCCAGACATAATTCATCACATTTAAAGGCAAGTCTCTCTACTCAAGTTAATCAAGTCTTTTCAATCAGTCCTGTTCAGGACAGTCCTGGCCTGGTTCCCAAGAGATGCACAAACGTCACCATAGGAACCCTGCCAGAGAGAACAGCTGTCCCTACAGCCAAGGAGGTTAGTTGCCAGAAGGACAGGTCACTGGGGACTGCAGGACTCAGCACCTGCAGATGGTTCCAAGAGTAAACAAATTTTCCTCATGGCTCAGGCTGCCCCAGAGAAAGCAGGTCACAGCCAAAGAGGAGTGCCAAGTATGCACATGCTTGATAGTATGTCTGTGTGTGTTGGAGAGGTAAGCTGCAGAGCCTGGAGGAGCATCCCCCACCCCCAGGGGCATTGCCTTCTCCCAGGCTGGAGAGGAGAAAGTTCAGGAGGGCAGCTAGTGCTGAAAAGATACAGTAGTCCCAGGAGCCAGGGCAGACATACCAGTGCCAGGATGCTGTCAGCATGTTTCTCCAGGGCCCGGGGCTGATAGTACGTATCCTGCCAAAACAGATGCCCACATTAAGGATCCTGTTCATTAACACACATCAGGGCTCCCTTTTGGAAGCCCTGATGTGTGTCCTCTGGTTCTAGCCTCCAAAACTGTCCCTCCTAGGACATCCCTAGCTCCCAAAGAAACCCCTCTTCCCTGGGCGTGCTCAGAACCTGATTTCCCTCCTCAACCATGAGAACAAACACAGGAGTTGGATTTAGAAGCAAAAGTGAAAGCAGCATTGGACGACTTTGGCTCCTTTTTCAGGATCCAGTTTCAAATGGGCTGTGGGCATGTGCCTACAGGGAGAGTGGGGCTAGGGAAGAAAGGAAAAGACACCATGACATCTTTAAGACGGAAAGAAGGGCATCAGAAATAAGAGTAGGAAATCAAGGAAGGAAATGTGGCTGGAGGTGGGCAGTTGTAGGAGACCAGAAACATAATTTGAGACTACAGATAAAAAGGAAGAGAATTTAGGGGCAGAACCTACCACCATCCCCAGGATCATTGCTTTCATGAGTGCAATGACTCTGGGGTCTCCACAGTAGGCAGGGGGGTCAGGTGGAAGGCAGCAGATAGGGGATATGTTGAACTAGTCATGTTGAAATTCAAAACGTACTAGAGAGAAGATAAAACGGAGTAGGCAAGGCACCAAGGAGCACTAAGTTAAGAAAGAAATCGAGAGTTTGACGTCGGAACAGTCCAGCTCCCGAATCCACGCAGGGTCTCTTCCAGGATTTAGGAGTCAATTGGGACAGACATGAACCACGACAGACAGGATGGGGGGCCGCGAGAGGAAAAGGCAAGGAGGGGAGTCGGAATGAGAAAGCGGTGGCAAACAGCGATAAAGGAGGGGGCCAGTCCACAGGCGTGACTCTAACTCAGGAAGCACCAAGAGCGCAGACTGTGCGCGCCACTGACTTGACAAGTAGTCCCCCCACCCCCGATTTCCAATAATGGGCGCTTCTGCGGAGCAAAGGCCGCAAAGGGGTTTGGGCCGTACCATGATTCTGACCAGGGGAGAATTCGACTCACCCAAGAGCTGGAAGGGTGGGTAGTGACTGAAGCTGGAGTCCCAGAGACGCCGGACGGCGCCCTTTCAGAGTCCCTTTCGCGGTAGATTTTGTAGAGCCGGGGGCCGAGGACGCAGCTCAGGAGCTTCGCCATGGCCCCAGCTCGGGCCGCTGCTCTCTCAGCAGCAGTTCCCCTGCTAGCCCCGCCCTCCCCGGCCCAGGTGCTGCGTGCCCTGACGTCAGCACGTACCGGCCCCGCCTCCAGCCGAGGCGGGACGCTTTCCGCGCTCCTTGAGGAGGATGTCGTGCGCTTGGACCTACCGGTGCGGCGATGGCCTGAAATTAGCAGGAGCAGTTCGGAACGTGGAGAGTTAGCGAGTCAGCAGGCATAGTTCAATCACGTTTTCCCATCCTAGTACTGGTAGGCACTCGAGCGAAACTAGGCGGGAAGGGTAGGGTTAGGAACACTTGACAAGAGCAACAAAAACAAGTCCGGCTGGTGTGGCTCAGTGGTCGAGAGCTGACCCATGCACCAAGAGGTCGCAGGTTCGATTCCCAATGGGGGAATATGCCCAGTTTGTGGGCCTGATCCCCAGTGGGGGGCATGCTGGAGGTGGCCAGTAGATGTTCTCTCTCATCGATGTTTCTGTCTCTCTCTCCCTCTCACTTCCTCTATATCTAAAATCAATAAAGGAAAAAAAAAGGGGTTAGGTATCTAGGAATACATCTAATCAAATAAATGAAAGGTTTTATGAAGAAAATATATAAAGTTATTGAAAGAGGTAAACGAGGGCTTGGATAAATGGAGAGCTACACCATGACCATGGCTAGAAAGACTGAATATGGTTAAGATGTGTGAAATACTGGTAAAGGAAAATGGATGAATTATCTCTTAAGCATGGACAAATCTCAAAACCATAATGTTGAGTGGAAAAAGAAAGCCACATATTACATACAACATGCCACCAATGTATAAAGTTGAAAAACATAAAACTTAATGAACAAGTGAAAGATAAAGAGCAAATTTGGAAAAGTGTTACACAGCATAGAGAATCTTTAACTCAAATGGTAATATTCTGTTTCTTAACGGAACACAGGTTTTCTTTTTCTTTGTACCTTACACCTACATTATATACACACCCTTTAGCTTTTTATTGCAGTCAACACAAAAACAGAAAAGTGCACCAATTGAATATATCTATGTCTCAGCACTCGAATATATCCGTGTCTCAGCACCCAGATCAACAACACATCATTGCCACATCTAGGAAGACCCTCTGCAGATCACTATTAGTTGCTACCACCCCACTAAGAGTAACCACAAACTTAATTTTCAACCTCTTAGATTACTTTTGCCTCTTTTTGTACTTTATGTAAATGGAATCCTATAATATATGTTTTTGTTTCTGGCTTCTTTTACTCATTATGTTTGTGAGATTCAGCCTTGTTGCATGTTACAGTGGTTTGTACTTTCTCAATACTGTTGAATGGTCCATTATGTAAATATGTCACAGTTTATTTAATATACAATTGTACATTAGATATAATATTTGGTATGCATGGATTATTTTACCAAAAAAAAAAAAAAAAGTAGCCTTTGAAAATAAATAACACATTAAGAACTGTTAGAGCCATATGAAGATCTGCCCTGAGAGCTCTGCCTGAGGCCAAGGGATGAATCAGTGAATTTTTCAGGCCCTTGCTATTCTTCTTCTTAAGTAATAACATATCCAACAGAAATTGGTGCCAGACAGTCCCCTAGGAAAGCCATTTTAAATAATTTCTGAAGTATTGCGCCCTGGCTGGTTTGGCTCAGCGGTTGGAGCGTGGGCCCTTGGACCGGAGTGTCCCGGGTTTGGTTACCGCTGGGGGCGCGTACCTCGGTTGCAGTTTGTCCCCGGCCCTGGTTGGGATCGTGTGGGTGGCAACCACTCGATGTGTCTCTCTCACATCGATGTTTCTCTCTCTCTCTTCCTCCCTCTCTCCCTTCTGCTGTATCTGAAGATAGATGCGAAAGTGTCCTCAGGTGAGAATTAAAAATAATAATAAATAAATAAATAAATAAATACATAATTTCTGAAGTATTGACTGGGTGTGCAGTCTCATGCTGGGTTCCGTGGAGACCAACATGAAGACTCAGTTTCTTCCCTCGTGTCTAGCACCTCTTAGGGTGGAGGAGAGAACGCTTCCAACCTGGTGGGAGGTGGACAGCTGCGACCCCTTCTATGCAGGCTTCTCAGAATGGAAAGATTTCTATCTAAGTCCCTCCACCAGTATGGAGTCAGGAGTCAGAAGGGTGAGGAGGCTGTCTTAGGAGCAGCCTGGACTGGGTCTTTTTCCCAACAGGACAGAAAGGCGGTGGTCATTTTTTCCCCAGTAGACTTGCAGCTGGGCTTTATCTCCCCAGCTTTCCCATCCCGTCCGGAGGCCTGTGGGCCTTTATCTGGGCTCTGTTTCCTCCCTAGGAACACTAGTTCCCAAGCAAGAGAACTTGAAAGGCTCTCCCCATGGCCTTATTCCTTCTCCTTCTGCTCCTCTGTGGACCCCTCCAGGCTGCTGAAGGTAAGGAGCAGGAGGTGGAGGATTCTGCAAGGCTGTGAGGGACTGCCGCTGTTTCTCTTTAGGGCAGGCACAGGTATTTGATTCAAGAAGATAGACTTACTCCAATTGATCTCCTGATCTCTAATACTGGGGTAGGCCCAGAGACCCTTAGGATCCAAATCATGTACAGTTTCCTTTAGAAAATAAGAACAGGTGAATAAGTGCTTCCAGAAAAGGAGAAATGAGAGGAAAAGATATGGGTATTTGCCAACTATTCCAACCTTTTCTCTCTTGCCTTCAGATTCCCTCACTCACTGGGGGAGAGGGGAAGAAAGCCCCTACCCTCCTCTCCACCTCACATTTTTTGTAGCTGTCCCTCAGAAGGAAAGGAAGCCAGGGGTTGGAGGTTGAGTTGGGAGGTTGTTGATCTCATGGAGGTCTCTGGCCTCATACAAGCCCCTCCCTACAGATAACATCCAGGCCATCTATGTGACCTTGGGGGAAGCAATGGAGTTACCATGTCCCTCACCACCTACCCTACATGGGGATGAACTGCTGTCCTGGTTCCACAGCCCTGCAGCAGGCTCCTCCACTGCCCTGGTGACCCAAGTTCAAGTGGCCAGGCCAGCCCCAGACCCTGGGAAGTCTGGAAGGGAATCCAGGCTCAAATTGCTGGGGAACTACTCTTTGTGGCTAGAAGGGTCCAAGGAGGGAGATGCCGGGCGATACTGGTGTGCCGTGCTGGGTCAGCGCCACAAATACCAGAACTGGAGGGTGTATGATGTCTCTGTGCTCAGAGGTGAGTGGAAGCATGCAGGCCAGAGGCCACTGGGGGAGGGGGAAGCCCAAGCAAGGAACTGAGGGGTCTCTCTCTCCCCACAGGATCCCAGTTATCTGCAAGGGCTGCAGATGGATCCCCCTGCTCTGTCCTTCTGTGCTCTGTGGTCCCTACCAGACGCCTGGATTCTGTGACATGGATGGAGGGAAAGGGTCCTGTGAGGGGCCATGTGCAGTCCTTCTGGGGCGAAGGGGCTGCCCTGCTTTTGGTGTGTCCTGGGGAGGGGCTTTCTGAGCACCGGGGCCATAGACCAAGGATCATCCGCTGCCTCATACCTCAGAACAAGGGGGTCAGCTTCAGCCTGGCAGGTAAACTGAGGGGGGATATGGAAAGGGATGTTCCCCCTGGCACATCCACACCTGCTGACTAGGGGAGGAGGTACCGAAGGAGGCAAATTTGTTATTGGCCAGGTCAGGAGGGGTGATTTCTGGTGAAGCTGACCATCACCTATAAGAGGAGGACTTTCTTACTTATTGACTGAATCCATAACAGAGAAGGGGGTTGGTTAAGCTAACTTTCTGGTGGAATAGACCATAGCCAAGAGGGAGAAGAAGAATTCTGGTGGAATATATCATTGTTTAGAAATAGGCCAACTTATGATTTGTGTGGAACATCACATAGCAGAGAGGAACAAAATAAGAATTATTGCTGAGGGAGTTGTTTTTTAAAAAATAATTTTCTTTTTATTGATTTTAGAGAGAGAGGATGGGAGGAGAGAGAGAGATACATCAGTGAGAGAGAACATCGATTGGCCGCCTCCTGCATGCCCCCTTATCAGGGATCAAACCGGTGACCTCTTGGTACATAGGTCAGTGCTCAACCACTGAGCCACACCTGCTGGGCTCGGGGAGTTGTCTTTTGAAGAAAGGATATATATACGCCCTGGCTGGTTTGGCTCAGCAGTTGGAGTGTTGGCCCGCAGACCAGAGAGGCCCAGGTTCGGTTCCCACTAAGAGCACGTACCTCAGTTGCAGTTTGTCCCCAGCCCCAGTTGGGGTCGTGTGGGTGGCAACCACTCGATGTGTCTCTCTCACATCGATGTTTCTCTCTCTCTCTCTTCCTCCCTCTCTCCCTCCAGCTCTATCTCAAGATAAATGCAAAAATGTCCTCGGGTGAGGATAAAAAAAAAAAGAAAGGAAATATATGCACTGAGGTTATAATGGCCCATTGATAGTAAAGGCAGAGGGAGAAAAAAATATAATTGTTTTATCAGAAAAAAGTCCATTATACAGAGAAAGAATGCTGTTGGGTGTGGAATAACTCATTTTACAAGGCAGGAGGGAGGAGCAAGTGGCCATTATTTCAATAAGCAAAGGTCAGTAACGCAGCGGCTGGGCTTGACTTCCCTCTGCACCCTCAGCACCTGCGCGGGTGCTCGGCATGTGGCGGGCGCTCCGTGAACGCTTGCGGAGTGAGTGACTGGAAGAAGGAATACATGGAAGGCACTTCGTTTTTTCTTGAAAAGGTGGATGTATGAGGAGAAATGAGTTATGGCTGGTGGTCTGTTCTGGAGTTAGCTGTCCGTGTATGTGTTGGGTGTGAGGAGGCATTGCCATTCTCCATCCATGTTGGCTCATGGGGTCAGGGTGAGAGAATGGAAAAGGGGCAAAGTGGGGGGGTAGACAATGGGGGCAAGGAAACTTATGAGGTCTTCTTTTGGAAGAGCCCACCAGACTATGTGGGAAGTCTCTCTTTGGGGCACAGGGCCAGACTCCCTCACTGCCTCCCTCCTTATCCTTTTGTCTTGCCCTTACTGCAGCCTCAACCGATGCTTCCCCTGCCCTCTGTGCCCCTTCCGTGGGCTGGAATGTGCCCTGGATCCTGATGCTGTTGTTCGCAGCAGGCCAGGGGCTCACCACCCTGGTCCTCGGTGTCATGCTCTGCAAGCGGAGGGTCCAGTGTGCTCAGTGCAAAAGTGAGTCCCTCCTTCCCAGAAGGAAGACGAGAACATGTGGGTAGGAGGCAGAGGGTTGGGCTCACATTTTCCTTTGTACCCCATCTTCTCCAGGGGAGGAGGAGGTAGGGAATACAGCTCTGGGTTATCTGGTGACTTCTCTGTCACACTCCATATGACTCCTTCTCCCCAGATACCTCAACTCCTCAGTTCAAACCTGAAATCCAGGTCTATGAGAACATCCACTTGGCCCGTCTTAGGTGAGGAACAACTGTGGGACAGAGACTTAAATCCCAGAGGTGACTGGGGTTAGGGAGGATGTGAGTCCTGGTTCCTGAGGGGGTGGAGAATGGAAGTATCCTTAATCCTTTATGTTTCACAAAACCCACAGCCCACCTGCCCCCAAGACCAGATGATCTTGGTGACATCTGCTGGAAAGGACCTGCGGTCTCCCTGGCCACGTGGCACCTGAAGGACTCCCTGAAAATCTTGGCAAGGGGGGAGGGGCTAAGAATGCTACTTTTACCGTTCAGCTGTGTGTGGAGGGAGTTGTGCTGAAGGAAAGGAGAAGAATTATCTCGTGATGTCACCTTCGAAAAAGTGTGGTCTCCTGTCTGTAGCAGCCAGTGGAGGGTGTCCCTGAACCCGCAACCATCGGATTGAGGGGAGCTTGGTGTAGCTGGCAGGGGGTAAGGAGGGGTGGGGATGGGCAGAGAGGAGACAGAGGAATTCAGGGATTTGAACAATGGTGGAGAACCAGGCATAACGGAACCAGAGGAGAAATGGGGGAAACTGAAGTAGAGAGAAGGGAAGAGACTCAAATCAGAGTAAGAGATGAGATATTCGGAGAGATAGAGAAAAACAGAAGGAGGACAAAGTGGGAAGATTGAGGGACAGAGAGAATGGAATTTAGTTCCATTATGTGAGAGATACACTTGGATTGGTTGCCTCCTGCAGGACCCTGACAAGGGCCAGGGACCAAACCTCACCTGAGGTACATGCCCTTGACCAGAACTGAACCCATGACTCTGTGGTCCGCGGGCTGACGCTCTAACCACTGAGCAAACTGGCCAGGGCAGAACAAACACCTTTGATTAGACCCCACACTTTCTCTGATGGAAGGGGAAGGAACTGGGTAATATGGGGATGCCAAAGCTCGGTTCCCACCCCGTCACCCTCCTTCTAGGCGCTCCATTGTGGCATCCCCAGCAGCCAGTCGCTTATGCCACATTGACATTCTGGGATCCCAGAGTCACAAGCTATCTCCCTTAGCGGAAGTATCCATAGGGGTGGGAGGGTACATTCCCTGGTGGCTGTGTAATTGGGCCCTGTATTGGGCTGTCTGTGAACCACGGACAGGTCTGGGCTGGTGAAGCAGGGTGAGCACGGTGACGCTCCCAACTCGACCATACCCCAGGCTCAGGCAGAAATGACATGGACTCCCAGCCACACCTTCACAAACACCTCCACCAAGTGCCCTTTTGTGTATCTGCTCAAGCTTGGGCCTCGCTGAAGAAAAGCTTTCTCGGAAGTCTCACCGAAAGCCTTTCTGCAGTGGCTTCAGCTAAGCTATTGGTGAGGAGGAAGACGCGAATGACACCAATGGAGAACGAGGTGCAAGTTATGGCTCAGGTTCCAGCACCACCCACCAAGCAGCTAGTTTGCTTCTAGAGAACACCCACACACACAGCAGTGTTACCAGACCCCCAGATAGCACTTTATTAATTTAAATTTACTCTTTTTTTTTTTAATCTTTACCCGAGGATAATTTTCTATTTATCTTCAGATAGAGTGGGAGGGAGGGGGAGAGCGAGAGGGAGAAACACTGATGTGAGGATACATCAATTGGTTGCCTCCTGCATGACCCGACCAGGGAGGGGAATGAACAGCAACCCAGGTATGTGCCCTTGACCGGAATTGAACCTGTGACTCTCTGGTCTGGGCCGACACTCTAACTGCAAAGCCAAACAGGCCAGAGCAAATTTACTCTTTATAGTTGCCCGAGCCCTCCTTCCTGAGTTCCTGACCTACCAAATTAACCTTCCCCAGCAAGACTCCCCTCCTCTCCGTACATGATGCCCCTGCCATCCCCTTTCCTAGGACCCACAGCTCCATCAAACACCTGCCTTGCCAGAGACCTGGGACTGGGAAAGGACATCAGCATCTAGAAAAGACAAAAGACACAGAGCAGGTGGTTTTTATGAGGCTGGGCTCTGGGGAGGTTGCTGTCGGGGCTGGAGCCAGGTCCACGGGAGTCGGGTCTTGGAAGGGGTCTCCAAAGGTATTGGGCCAGGGATCTGAGGCCTCTGTACAAAATCAGGTTCTTGGCCATATCTCAAAAGTGTCTGGGCAGGTGTTTCCAGGGCCGTAGTGAAAGTGGAGGAGTCCTGGGTTGAGGGCTGCAGATTCAAGTGAGGCTAGTGAAGGAGGTGGCCTCCCCAGGTGAAGCTGGCCATGAGGAGCAGCGTGGGGAGGAGGGAGCTGCGGGGCTGCTGCAGTGAGGTGGCCATGTTGCACAGGTCCTGGTCACAGCAGTGGTGCTGCAGAGCGTAGGAGCGTGACCAGTAGGTGGCATGGCCAGGCAGAAGGCACTGGGCTCTTGGGAGGCAGCCTTTCCGCTGGATGAGCTCACTCTGCTCTGTGAGACAAAGGCGGAAAGCTGGGGCAGGGGCAGGGGCAGGAAGGAGGTAAGGGCCAGGGGCAGCAGGAGAGGCAGGACAGATGGAGGTGGGGAACAACCTGGAGTAGAGCCATTGGACCAGAGTCCTACCTGAGGTGCCAATACTGATGCCACAAGCTTCATCATCCTGACACTCGGTGGGGACAGGGTAGCAGGGTTTGGCAAAGCTGCAGTAGTAGCAGTGGAGTCGCCCCTGGGCAGGGGAAGTGGTGAGACCTGTGGGGTTGGTGGACAGCAGGAAGGCAGGAGGAGAGGGAAACAGGCCAGGTGAGAGTTGGAGCCAAGATCTGGGACAGGGATGCACAGAGAAGTAACACCCGAAGTGGGGAGAGGGCAGCACTGAAATGGAGTGAGAAGGCAGACAGAAGTAGAAAAAGACACAGAGGAGGGAGGGGAGACAGGAAAAGAGAAAGACACAGAGGCAAGAAGGATACAGAGACTGTGAGGGACACCAACATGAACAGAAGCTGAGAGAGTGTCAGAGATGAACTCAGAGAAGGACAGAAGCCGTGGTGGGAGGCGGCAGTGAAGAAGTTAAGCAGATAGTGCCAGAAACAGATGCGAAGATGGGAACTGACATTTACTAAGGGGCCAAGCAAAGAAGCAAGAGGTAAGATAAAGACCTTGGCCGGTTTGGCTCAGTGGTTAGAGCATTGACCTACGCACCAGAGAGACCCGGGTTCGGTTCCCGCTAAGGGCATGTACCTCCATTGCAGTTTGTCCCCAGCCCGGTTGGGGTCATGTGGGTGGCAACCAGTCGATGTGTCTCTCTCACATTGATGTTTCTCTCTCTCTCTCTCTCTCTCTCTCTCTCTTTCTCCCTCTCTCCCTCCTTCTCTATCTGAAGATAAATGCAAAAATGTTCACGAATGTTCACGAGTGAGGATAAAAAAATAGAGGTGAGATAAGGGCCAAGGAAGATAGAGGCTGCTCAAAGATGGCAGAGAAAGCGCTGTTCTTCAGCGCCTTCGGAAGGGGCTTTATCAGGGTGGCCTGAGACCATTCCCCGCCAGCTCCTCTTTCTAAAGCTCCCACAACTCTCTTCTTGGGTCTCTCAGACCCCTCCGCCCCCCAGTCTCAAGCTTTTCCATGAACCCTTGCCCCAACTGCACCCCCCAGCCCGCTGCCCCAGAGGATCCCCAACCCACCCTTACCCACTGCCCCGCAGAAGAACAGGGTGCAGAGGAAGGTGCTGGTGGTGCCCATGGCTGAATCCAGGGCTCAGGAGTCTGGGAGAATGTGACCTGCACCTGAATTGCCCAGGCTGAAGAGTAGGAGCATCTGAATAAGACAGGGAGGAACCAATAAACAAACACACCTAGGGAGTGAACCGAGAGAGGAGGTGGAACTGGCCAGATTCACCAGCCTGACCAGCAGGCCCTGCCCCCACATCTCCCTGCCACCTCCCGAAGTCTGCTCTTGCCTTCAGGGTCTTCTCTGTACTCTCAGCTGCGTCGGGTTCCAGATGGTGTCTGTCACCTTCCCTCCTACTCCTCTCCCCTCCCCACCCTTGTCTCAAGCTGTTTTCTGCTCTCTCAGCTTTTCTCCTCCTCTCGGCTTTCTCCGTTCCCCTTCTGTGCATGTAAGTCTCTCAGGGTCACCCTCCAAACAGCCCTGGCCCAGATCTGTCTGAATGCAGAACCAACAACGTCTCCTCCCATCCCCCAGCACGAAAGACAGCTGCCTAAGGAAGGGCTCCCTGCCCTCTCAGATCCCTTTGATCCCCAGTCGGCCCCACCCCTAGTGATCTCTCCCAGCTTTACTACCTGGGAGGAAAGAGTTATCACCCTTGGGGTCAGAGGGTCGGATGCATTTCCACTGGGATAAGTCAGTGGGTTGGGGGGGGTCATAAAGAGTAGGAAAAAATGCAGGGATAAGATTTGGGGGGCGGTTGCAGGGTCTGGAAGACAGGGGTTAAAGAGATTGGGAGGAGGATAGCACACCTGGAGAATCAGGGCGGGAATAACTCAGGATAGGACTGGGTGGGTGGGGTGGGTGGAGGAGGCTTGTCTCTCCACAGAGCAGCAGAGTTCTAGAACCTTTTATGTCAGGACCTCTTTACACACTGAAAAGTTACTGAAGACCCCAAAAGCTTTCCTTAGTGAGTTATATATATATATTTTTTTTTTTTTAAATTTTTTTCTTTGTTGATTTTAGAGAGAGAGGAAGAGAGAGGGAGAGATAGAAACGTTGATGAGAGAGAACATCGATTGGCTGCCTCTGCACCCCCCACTGGGAATCGGGCCCACAAGCTGGCATGTGCCTTGACCAGGAATTGAACTGGCGACACGTTCAGCCACTGAGCCACACAGGCCAGGCATCAGTGAGCTATATTAACAGTCTATTAGAAATCAAAACAGAAAATTTAAATAGATTCATGTAAAAATTAAAATAATATGCCCTGGTCAGTTTGCTCAGTGGTTAGAGCGTTGGCCTGTGGACCAATGAGATGTGGGTTCGATTCTGGTCAAGGGCACATACCTTGGTTGCCCTGGTCAGGGTCATGCAGGAGGCAACCTGTCAATGTGTTCCTCTTAGTGGATACTTCTCTCTCTCTCCCACTCTATCTGAAGATAAATAGAAAAATATCCTCAGGTGAGAATTAAAAGAAAATTAAAATAATAAACCTACGTGTAAACAAAACATATTTTTGTGAAAAAGACCTTCTTTCCCAATGAAGATGGCTGGGTTTTCATATCTACTTCTGCATTCAATCTGTTGGGATATGTTGGTTTGGTTGATGTGTATGAAGAAAATCCCACCTCACACAGATATATAGTTGGAAAAGGAAGACCGTTAAGGACCCTCTGAAAGGGCCTTAGAACTGCTGCTAAGGATGGAGGAGTTTGGGGACTCCAGAGGATGCTGAGAGCATTCTCCTGAGGGGCCCCTCCCTGTCTCCAGTGGGGCCCCCAGTGCCTGCTGAGGGAGAGTTTTGCCTCTCTTTTTATTGTCCTATAAAACCCGGGGGGATATAAGGCTGGCAGAGCCAGGGCAGGGAGGGGCATGGAAGGGAGAGGCCACTGATCCAGGCAGACACAATGAACCCTCTCCTTGTGGGGCTGATGCTCAGCACCCTGCCTGGGTGCCTTGGGTAAGAAGACAGGCAAGGCCCCTATCATACAGGCTGGCCCCTCTCTGCCAGCCGGCTTCCCTGAGAGCCCAGGTCCAGCGCCTCCTCTCTCCTTCCAGGACACCGCATGCTGTGCTGGGACTGCAGTGGCGGAGGCGCCTGTGACCATCTGTGGTGAGGGCAAACCCCAACCAGGCCTGCAGCAGAGCAAGCTGTCTGGTAACAGTGAGTCCTCAGTTTCTCCCTCTTCCCCCAGCCCTTTCCTACCTCCAGAACCTTCCAGGATCAGGCTAGGTCTGGGTAGATGGTGCTGCTGGCAGAGAGCTGTCTGCAGCCCCTTCTGTGCTCCCAGCACGGTGCCCCTCAGTCTGCCATCCATGTGGTCCCACCTCCCTCCTCTGCTTTCCAGAATCTCAGAGGTCCACTCACTCACATGTGGTTGAAAAAGCTCAGTCCCTTGAAAGTAGGAACCAAAATGTTAAACCAAACTTCAATTTTCTGGCATCAGCTAAGGACCAGGGAGGTATGTGTGTGTTTAAGATTGACAGAAATGTTGTAAAAATAGTACAGAGAATTCCTGTATATCCTTCACCCAGCTTCCTTCTAATGTTAACATCTTATATAACCATAATACAGTTGACCCTTGAACACGTGGGGATTAGAGTTGCTGACCCCGCCTGGCTGGTGTGGCTCAGCGGTTGAGCATCCACCCAGGCACCAAGAGGTCGCCGGTTCGATTCCCGGTCAGGGCACATGCCCGGGTTGTGGGCCCGATCTCCAGTGGGGACATGCAGGAGGCAGCCAATTGATGTTCTCTCTCATCAATGTTTCTATCTCACTCTCCCTCTAAAAATCAATAAAGGAGCCCTAGCCGGTTTGGCTCAGCGGTTAGAGCATCGGCCTGCGGTGCGGAGAGACCCGGGTTCGGTTCCCGCTAAGGGCATGTACCTCGGTTGCAGTTTATTCCCGGCCCTGGTTGGTTGTGCGGGTGGCGACCACTCGATGTGTCCCTTTCACATCGATGTTTCTCTCTCTCTCTGTTCCTCTCTCTCCCTCCCACTCTATCTGAACAAAGAATGGAAAAATGTCCTCGGGTGAGGATGATTAAAAAAAAAAAAATCAATAAAGGAAAAAAAAAAGAGTTGCTGACCCCTGGCTCAGTTGAAAATCCGCATATAGCCCTGGCCAGTTTGGCTCAGCAGTTAGAGCGTTGGCCTGCGGTCCAAAGAGATCTGGGTTCAGTTCCCGCTAAGGGCACGTACCCCGGTTGCAGTTTGTCCCTAGCCCTGGTTGGGTCATGCGGGAGGCAGCCACTTGATATGTCCCTTTCATGTCAATGTTTTTCTCTCTCTCTCTCTTCCTCTCTCTCCTTCCTACTCTATCTGAATAATAATAAAAAAAAAACATTAAAAAAGAAAATGCGCATATAACTTTTGACTCCACAAAAACTTAACAACAGCCCTGGCCAGTTTGGTTCAGCAGTAGAGCGTCGGCTCGTGGACCAATGAGTATCAGGTTCAATTCTGACCAAGGGCACGTACCTTGGTTGCAGTTCGACCTCGGCCCTCTTTGGGGGTCATGTGAGAGGCAACCAGTCGATATGTCCCTCTCACATTGATATTTCTCTCTCTCTCCCTTTGTCTCCCTCTTTCCCCCTCCCACTCTATTTGAAGATAAATAGAAAAATATCCTCGAGTGAGGATTAAATTAAAAAAAAACTTAACTACAGTTGTCCCTTGGTATCTGAGGGGGATTGGTTCCACGACACCCCACCCCCACCCTCTTGTAGATACCAAAATCCCCCATACTCAAACTCCTTCTATAAAATGGCATAGACAGAAGGAGAAGAGAACAAGAAATCGAAAACCTATTTGAAACAATAATGGCAGAAAAATTCCCTAACTTGGTGAAGGAAACAGATATACAGGTCCAGGAAGCACAGAGAGTCCCAAACAAGATGAACCCCAAGAGGCCCACACCAAGACACATCATCATCAAAATGCAAAAGGTTCAAGACAAAGAGAGACTCTTAAAAGCAGCAAGAGAGAGACCTGGGTTCAGTTCCTGCTAAGGGCGCGTACCTTAGTTGCAGTTTGTCCCTGGCCCTGGTTGGGTCGTGTGGGTGGCAGCCACTCAATGTGTCCCTTTCACATTGATGTTTCTCTCTCTCTCCCTCCCTCCCACTCTATCTGAACAGAAAGTGGAGAAGTGTCCTCAGGTGAGGATAAAAAAAAAAAAAAAAAGCAGCAAGAGAAAAGCAGTTAGTTACCTACAAGGGAGTTCCCGTAAGACTGTCAGTCGATTTCTCAAAAGAAACTTTGCAGGCCAGAAGGGAGTGGCAAGAAATATTCAGAGTGATGAAAAGCAAGAACCTACAACCAAGATTACTCTATCCTGCAAAGCTGTCATATAGAGAGTTTCCCAGACAAGAAAAAGTTAAAGGAGTTCATCACCACCAAACTATTATTATATGAAATGTTGAAGGGTCTTTTTGAAGAAAATGATAAAATATATGAACAAACAAAATGGCAATGAATACATATCTATTGACAATGGAATCTACAAACAAAATGAACAGGCACAACAGAAACATTCTCATAGATACAGAGAACATTTTGTTGGTTGCCAGATGGGAGGGGGGGTTGGGGGAATGGGTGAAAAGGTGAAGGGATTAAGAAGAACAAATTGGTTGCTAGACTGACAAACCTCAAAGAGAAGGGGGTTGAAGGGTGGGAAGAAATAAACCAAAGAACTTATATGCATAACCAATGGACACAGACAATGTGGGAAAAGGTGGGAGGGGGGTGGGAGTGGGGAGGAGGTGGTCAATGGGGGAAAAATGAGGAACATTTGTAATACATTCAACAACAAAGATTAAAAATAAAATAAAATGGCCCTGGCCAGTTTGGCTCAGCGGTTGAGCGTCATCCTATGGACCAGAGAGTCCTGGGTTCAGTTCCCGCAAGGGGCATGTACCACCAAAAAAACAAACAAACAAACAAACAAATAAAATAAAATAAAATGGCATAGAACAACACATACAGTCAGCCCTCTGCATCCACCGATTCCCAACTGCAGACTGAAAATATTTTCGGTCTGCAGTTGGATGAATCTCCAGGATAAGAAGAGCCAACTGTATATTTGGGGGGGGGGGGGGGGGAGATCTTTGTAAAAGTGGACCTGCACAGTTTAAACCTATGTTGTTCAAAGGCCAACTGTACAGTGATCAATATCAGAAAGTGACATTGATACACTACTACGAACTGATTTGTAGACCTTATTCAATTTAGCCAGATATTCCAGAGCCCAAACCAGAAGCCCCCATAGCATTTGGCTCTCATGTCTTTCTAGCTGTTCCCAATCCGTGGCAGTTCTGAGTCTTTGTCTTCCATGACTTTGACACTTTTGAAGAGTCCTGGTAATTATTGTATAGAATGTCCTTCAATTTGGATTTATCTGATATTTTCTCATGATCAGACTGAGGTCATGAGCTCTTGGCAAGAGTAGCATAGATGAGATGTTGATCCTTTGCAGTGCATCACATCAGGGGATTCACAATGTCAGTGTGATAACTGTGATTATCTGGTTTTAGGGAGGTGTTTTTTGAGGGGGCAGAGAATCCCTTTGGGCTCCTTGAAATCACATCTGCTCAGCTCCAGAAGGCAAGTCCTCTAGCCAGGAGGCCAACACTGCTGTCTCAGTCTCTCAACCTCAGTGATCTTGCCTCATCACCATCCAGCCTGTGCGGCAGCCCATCACTACAGGCAAGTAGAAACAGAATTGGTGGGAGATGTGACCTACACAGCTCACAGGGACTGCTGCGTCAGAGACCCATGCAGCAGTGCTGTGGTGGGAACTGTGACCCCAGCCCGCATCTTGGCTGCAGCAGGCAGCGCCCTGGCCTGGGTCTTTCCAGGACTGTGGAGAGGGTAGTGGGAGCACAGGATGAGAAGGGAGCAAAGGAATGAAGGAGATCTGAGATGAGAAGACACACACTCCTCTGTGAGCCATTAACATCTATCAACCACTCTAGAACCGACTGGAAAATCCCATGTCGCCTTTGTTGACCAGTGCTGAAGGGGTAATATGGGGGCGTATTACTCTAGTTTATGGCTCTAGTTTCAGGATCACCACACCTCAGTGAACTTAATTGTGGTGATGCTCTCCTTAACCGACCCATCCCCAAAGGACAGTGGAGAATCTACTCTAAGTTACACCTGGACCCTGTTGCTCGGGAGAACCTTCCTCAGCAAGGAGGATCACGCAGGGAGCAAGCTCTGGGCTGAGTGGGGCTCACCAGAAGCAACGAGCCTGGTGGTCTGGGTTGGCTCTCCTTTCCCCTTTGTAGCTTGGCTCTGAAAAGGACTCTTTTAAATTGAGAAAGGAAGTAAAAGTGAGACTGTGATAGGAGGCTCACTCACTGCCCCACTTAGTGACCTCAGGTGAGGCCTCTGACTCTAACCTGAGGGCCTGACACCCGGAAAGAGAGTCCTGAGTCCCATCCCCAAGCAACTCTCCCACCCATTTGTGGGAGCCCTCAAGCCAGGCCGCACCTCCCTCTTGGCAATACCTCAGAGATGTGACCTACATTTGAGATAAGGATTGTCTCCAAACACTGGGACCTGTGTGCCACCCCCAGATACTGGGAGGGAGGATGGAGGCCAGAAAAACCTGTTTCTCCATTTGCCCCAGCCCAGCCTTCCAGATAAACTCCCTGAAGGATGCTTGGGTTAGGGCAGGGAAGCAGGGGCCTCTGACAATAGGTCTTCTGACAATAAATGTACAACTTATCAGACACAGACATTTATTACTTAAAATGGAAAGAGGTGAGCAGGAGAACGGGTCGTACGGCAGCCAGGGTTTGGGAAATCAGCCTCATACAGTGAGGTCATCAGGTCTTTCCTCGGACCTTCACCGGGGACAGGACAGAAGCCCCATCTCAGGCCCAGACTCCAATCCCTCCCTGAGCAGGGCATGGTAGAGTGCAGGAGACAAAGTGGGAAGCCCTTCTAGGGGCCAGTGGAGGATCTGGAGTGGTCCAGAGGGAAAGGGGAAGGGAAAAGCAGAGAGGAGGGTATGCGGTTTGGAATGATGGAGATGGAGACCACTGTATGATTAAAGAAATGTGAAGGTCTGAAGAAATGTTTTTCTGAGCAAAGGGAACTAGGAAGAGACCATTGTGGGAAGCCAGGGGATACAGACACACAGGGAGAGAGGCTTAGGCGAAGGCCGGGTGGGGGGCAGGGACACCATGGAAGGGGTATCATTGCAGCAACCAGAGGCCAAGGCCAGCCAAGGAGGTGAGGAGGACCAGGGCCAGGCCCGGGGTGGGCCGAGGGGCTGGGCTATTGCAGTTGTCCTCACTGCAGCAGGTGGTGTTATAGGTCAGGCCCAGCTTGTGGATGGTTTGGTTGGAGGACTCCTCACAGGGCTGTGCACGTGTGCCACAGCGAAGGTTGGAGAAAACCCACATCTTGCCTGGGGGTAGGAGTGGACAGTGGCGTCAACTGGGATGGGCACCTAGAATGCCTGTGTTCACCTCCCAGACCCAGGAACCCACCCAAGCTTCCTTCCTTCCCAACTCTGCCCCAACTTCCCCCATTTATCTCTTTTCAGTCTAATCTTTCTCCTGCACTTCCAGACCCTGCCCCCTCACCCTAATCCTGGTCCTATCACTTACTGGCCATGATGCCTTGGACCTGTTACTTTCTCTTTCTGAGGCTGTTTCTTCAGTATAATAGTAGCCACACCATAGGGTGATCAGAACATTAGTTGAAACAATCCATGTAGAGACAGAATGGGGCCTGGCATGTCATCATTTTTGGCCAAATGTTCTCATTGCCGTCATTCTTAGTTCCACCTGAGCCTTAGCTCCAGTTGGGCCTCAGGCCCAGCCATAGTCCCCCAATGACCCCCTCCCCCATCCCCACTAAAGAAGGAGATATTACCAAGGTACACATTTGTTGTCAGGCATCTGTGTCCTGATTCCAGTCGGCAGGACTTCCGGTCCACACAGCCCAGCACAGGGACCTTGTAGCAGGAGTGACAGTGAATGTCACCTGGGAAGACACAAGTCAGGCTGAGGTGATGGGATGTCTGACTCACCTGGGACTGAGCCAAGCAGGGAGGTGGGGTGGAGAAGAGCCCATGCAGTAGGTGTTCCGACCTGTTTGGTCTGTCAGGGACGGAGCAGGTGAGTGATAGAGAAAAAGTGGAAGTGGGTGAGGGTGGAGTTGTTCTGTGAATGACCTGCACTCTGAATACCTTTCTCCACTCCATTCCATCTGGGGATGAGTCAGGAGGGACAGAGCTACCAGCAACAATATGGGGCTGGGGACAGATGAAAAGAGAACTCCATGGGATGGAGGAGGTGGGGAAGAAGATGAAAGGATTTAGAAGAGGTCACAGATAGAGATTTGAAATAAGAAGAAATATTAAAGATGAGAATCACGGAGGATACGACACATGCAGAAATGGTTTGGAACTTCATGCTGGCAAGAGAGCCACGTGCGGTCGGCTTTAGCAATTTACACCTCCTGTGCCCACCAGAGCATGATAAGAGGAGCCAGACCTGAGTTGATTCTCCTGCCTCAAGAACTCTCTGACAGAAAGAAGTACTATCTAGGTGACAGATCATCAGATTCCACCTGGGTACAGAAGGTGGTACCCCTAAAGTTCCTGCCTCAGCTAATTCAAAGTTTGGGCATGCAAGGTTTGGTGAAGGAGGGATTTGGTCCAAGGGTGGAGAAGGCTGTGAATGCATCTCACCCTGGGGGGTGAGCAGTCCTGGCATTTCCTCCCTAGAAGGCCAGGGAAATCTCCCTTGTTCCCTGGGAGGTTCTAAGAGGTCACTAGCACCCTCCAGAGCTTGTGTCCCTAGAGGTATGCACCCCAGGGAGGAGCAGTGGGGAACTAGGAAAGACCACTGCTTGAGGGACTGAGAATGAAGTCCCTGATGGAGTAGATGACAGGTGGGGTGCAAAAGAAGCTCTAGGCTGGATGCCTAGGTTTCTGGGAGGACACCCTGCTGAGTACAGGTGGAGAAAGAAAAAAGCAGGTACTGGAGTGGGGCTGTCAGGGTAACTGGATAACAGGGTTTCCAAGAAGGGGGTGCCTTGGAGTAGGGAAAAGGGGACCTAGAACCCTGGCTGGTTAAAAGAGTGGGTCTTGGAGGTAGGAAGGAGTCTGAAAGATGGAATCATGGATCCTTGAGAAATGGAGCAAGGTCTCTGTTACAGGGAGGCTTGGTTCTGGAGGCACAGGAGAGCTCAGCCAACTGGGGCCAGGGGTACTTGGGATCCTCAGTAGTGGGTAGTGTAGGGTGGTGGGTGGGGTAGGGTATAAAAGTCCTGACTGGGTGAATCAGGTCCTTGGAGCCCCAGGAGCTCACCTGAGATCCAGCAGAACAAAGACGACAAGGTGAGCAGCAGAAGGCCTTTCATGGTGAGGGTCCTAAGAATGGTAGCAACTGCAGCAGCTGACAGAGTGGATTTCTGGGGATCCAGCTCCGGGAGTTGAGTAGTCTTTTTGGAATTTATACTCCCAAAAGTCCCTCCCTCTCCTGCCTCTGGTGGTTCCTCCTTCCCCATTCATGCACAGCTGACCAAGGGGTGGGGTGGGGCTAAACAGGACTGGGTGGGGGAGTAGAGATGGGAGAGAGAGGTGAGGTGGTAGGGATTGGGGTGGGTGTGTAGGTGAGCCATTTTGGTTCTTGGTTTCCGATCAAGGTACCCCTCCTGGCTCCCAGCCGACAGCCCTGCCTGCCCAGTCCTCTGAAGAAGCATCACCAAAGGCCCCTGTGATGTTACAGTGGCCGTGGAGGTAGCAGCTGTTGGTTCCTGGAAAATGGACAGTGGGTGTGACCCAAGATGACTGCCAATTTTGGGTCCCTGGAGGGCATTGGTAGAAGATGTGAGCAGAGATTTTGGCTGGAAAGAGCCAAATTATTCTCAATTCGGCTCCCATTTGGTCTTCCCAACCACAGCTCAGCCACAGGATTAAGGAGTAGGGTTTGTGATGTCGCCAAGAGTGTCTGTGATATCATAGCAGCACAAGCATGGGCTGGGGCTGCCTGCAAGGAGGAGTTGCCTCAGGTTCCCCAGAGGTTCTCAGGGTCCACTTTGGGCTTGGCCTGGCCTCGGTTGCCCCAGTCCAGTGAAGGCCAATGAAGTTCTGGGTGTGGGGCAAGTGCCCCTGCACCAAGGTGCCTCCCCAGTCAAAACCTGCCGGTTCAGGAGGCACCGTGGCTGAGAGGGACAGCGTGTGCACAGAGACATGAGGTACAGCTAAAATAGGAATAGATAGTAATGATAATAGCCAGTACTTCGTGTTCCTATGTGTCAGCCATTGTTCTAGGCGTTTTAGATGTATGTATTTAGTTCTCACAATCCTCTATAACGTAGGTGCTTTTATTTTTTATTAACTAATTTATTTTTGTTACAGATGTTTCTCCCCCCCCACACACACCCTTCTCCCTATCCCCCACCTCAAGCCAAGCATTGTTGTCTATGTCCATTGGTTATGCATCCTAGGTGCTTTTTTTTATCCTTACCCGAGGACATTTTTTCTTTTATCCTCAGATAGAGTGGGAGGAAGAGAGAGAGAAACATGGATGTGAGAGAGACAGACACATCGAGTGGTTGCCACCCACACAACCCCAACCTGGCCAGGGACAAACTGCAACCGAGGTACGTGCCCTTAGCGGGAACTGAACCCAGGACTCTCTGGTCCAAGGGCCAACGCTCTAACCGCTGAGCCAAACCGGCCAGGGCCTTTTATAGGTGCTTTTATAGATGAGCCAACGGGCCCAGAAAAGTTAAGCGACTTGCTTACAGCAGGCAGCTAGTAGATGTCAAGTCAGGATTTGAAGGCAGCCGGGATCCAAATTCGTGATGTTTCCACCTGCTCCGCTGCAGGAGTTAAAATATTCGAAAATGCTTGTGTAAACGGCCTGAGCACGAATTTTAAGTGAGCATTGTTTGAGGACCTGTGAGTATTCCTAGAGGAATCCAGGCAGCCGGTGGCCCCGCCTCCTTCTTATCGGAGCCCCCAGACCTGCCGACACGCCCCTACCCCCACCCCGTTTCCCTCCGGTCTCCTCTGCTGATTCACTCGCCTTCTCTCCTCACCACATCCCAGCCATGGCCCTGGTTCTGTCGCTACTGCCGCTGCTGCTGTCGAGGGCTCAGGGGGACCCCGGGGGTAAGCCATCCCTGGGAAAGTCGGGATGAACCAGGAAAGTCTGAGGCACGCGACGGGGCCGACTGGGCAGTGGGATGTGTGTGGGAAGATCCAGGATGGTGGGAGGGCAGAGGAGAGGGGAGAGATGTGAGGCGGGGGAAGTCTTCTCACCCGGTGGACTTGCCCTAATCACCGCCCCCCTCCCCACCCCCGGCCTCCCCTAGTTTTCCTGGACGGCCGCCCAGGAGACCGAGTGAATCTCTCCTGCGTAGGGGTCTCACATCCCACCCGCTGGGCCTGGGCACCTAGCTTCCCAACCTGCAAGGGCCTGTCCAAAGGACGCCGCCCGATCCTGTGGGCCTCTTCGAGCGGGACCCCCACCGTGCCTCCTGTCCAACCCTTTGCTGGCCGCCTGCGAGCCCTGGACCCTGGCATCCGTCGGCTAGAGCTGCTCCTGAGCGCGGGGGACTCGGGCACCTTTATCTGCAAGGGCCACCACGGGAACGAGAGCCGAATGGTGCTTCACGTGTTGGGGGACAGGGCCTACTGCAGGGCCCCGGGGCCTAGCCGGGGTAAGTAGAAGCCTTCGCGCACAGGGCACTTAATTCGGGCACACAACCCCGACCGGGAGAGGGGCCTTGGCTGGGGATTCCTGAGCTGAGAGCTAGCTGTTTGTCCCCTGACCCAGGCGTCCACCACCCACTTCCATCCTTCCTCCAGAGTCCGTGTATCCCCCGCTCCTGATCCCTCTGCTGGGCGCTGGGCTGCTGCTGGGACTCGGAGTGTTGGGCGTGGTCTGGTGGCAGCGCAGGTGAACTCTCGGGGCTTGACAAGAGGTGGGAGGGGCAGGACCAGAGTTTTCGCAGACTAAAGCTAGATCTGGAGCCCTGGGGTGTGGTTTGGAGAAGGGGTGATCAGAACTTGGAGACCGGGCCACAGGCTAGTGGGTGGAGCCCTGACTTGGGAAGCTAGGCTAGAGGTAGCAGCTCTCTGTGGGGGTGGAGCCTAAGTTGGTTTGCTGGTCAGGGGCTACAAGTTGCAGGGTTTAGAGCCAAGAACCTGGGAGACAACACTGGACGTTCTCAGACTATTATACATCCCCGACAGGCGCTCGTCCCCGCACCCGCACCCGCTTCGACCACTCCCCAGATTTGGTGAGCTTACCTCCACCCCATTTTTCTTCTTCTACCTGCACATCCCCCACCCCTCAATTCCTGAGTCTGAGCCCTTGCTGGGAGCAGACAAGTTGGTCACCTTCTCTCAATCCTTCAGCTCTGTTCCCCCTACATAGCTCCACTAGTGAAAGCCGAGCCCCAGAGACCAGTAAAGGAGGAGGAGCCCCATATAGCAGAAGACCTGGACCAGGAGTCGGTAAGGGCTTAGGGATGGGAAGGGGACTGGCCAGAATTCCTGAGAAAAGTGGACCAGGAGAGACAGGCCTGGATTGCCAAGGAGTCACACTTCTGCCTTCCTCCTCACCTTTCAGAGCCTGCTCTATGCAGACCTGGATCATATGGCCCTCAGAAGATCCTGCCGGTTGTCTCCAGTGGCCTCTGGTGATTCCTCCACCATCTATGCGGTTGTAGTTTGAAGGAAAGCCCTTACTCCACACATCAAAAGCTGGGAGCTCCCAGCTCTCCATAACCGCCCTCTCCAGCTCTCCCCAGGAAATGAAGGCACCATGGGATAGAAATGAGCACTAGACTGGGAGTCAGGAGACCTGGCTTCCAGGCTGTGTCTGCCACTGATCTTGCTCCTTCGGTTATCCCATCTCCTATAACCTCCGTGTCTCCTTTACCACTGGTGTCCTCTCTAAACCTCATCAAACCCTGTCTCCCCATCTTAAGACATCAGTCACTCCAAGATAGTTGTCCCATCTCTTCCCTCCCTTCCAGTCAAGCTCTTTGAACCAGGGACCTACATCTGTCTCCTCCATTTTATTCTCCTTCACTCTACTCCCATGAGATTGCCAGTGATTTCCAAATGGCCATACCTAGTAGACATTCTTTAGCATTCATCTGGCTTGGCTTTTTGTTGTTGTTGTTGTTAATCCTCACCTGAGGATATTTTTCCATTGATTTTTTTTTTTTTTTTTAATAGAGTGGAAGGGAGGGAGGGAGGGAGAGAAACATGATGTGAGAGAGACATATCAATTGGTTACCTCCCACATGACCCTCACCAGGGGAACCTGCAACCCAGGTACATGCCCTTGACTGGTAATTGAACTAGTGATCCTTTGGTCTGTGGGCCAACACTCTAATCACTGGCTTAACCACTGGCTGGCTTGGCTTTTTTTTTTTTTAATCTTCACCCGAGGACATTTTTTCACTTTTTGTTCAGATAGAGTGGGAGGGAGAGAGAGGAAGAGAGAGAGAAAACATCGATGTGAAAGGGACACATCGAGTGGCTGCTACCCACACGACCCAACCAGGGCCGGGGACAAACTGTAACCAAGGTATGTGCCCTTAGCGGGAACTGAACCTGGGTCTCTTTGGACCGCAGGCCGATGCTCTAACCGTTGAGTCAAACTGGCCAGGGTTGGTTTGGCTTTTTATTACTCCCTTCTTTAAGCTGTTTTTCTTCAATGCTGATATCTTCCTTCTGTACTCCTCTTCCTTTCTCCCTACCCCCATGGTATTCCCCACCATTCTAGGCTTGTCCCTTTATCTGCCTTCTTCCTTTTCTGGGAAGCTGTCATCCACAGTGGCCTCAGTCCTCACCTTGGCAAACGACACCCAGAACTCTCTCCAGCTCTGATCTCGGTTACGGGATTTCCAAGCTGTCCCTCAGACATCCCTGCCTATCTGGCCCTAACCATTTTGTGCACAGCATGTCCAAAACATTGTCATCTCCCAAACCTCTCACTTAATCCTCCTCTGTATTCCCTCTTCATCAATCCTGTCGCCCAAGCCAGAAAGTGAGAGTCATGCAGACCTCCTTCCTCTCCCACACCATGAACCAAGTCCTGCTGTTCTATTTTTTTCCCCTTTATTGATTTTTAGAGGGAGAGAGAACAAAACATCAGTGAGAGAGAACATCAATCGGCCACCTCCTGCATGCCCCGTACTGGAAATTTAGCCCACAACCTGGGCATGTGTGCTGACCAGGAACTGATCTGGTGACCTTTTGGTGCATGGGTCAACGCTCAACCACTGAGCCACACCGTCTGGGCCTGCTGTTCTATTCTATTTTATTTTATTTTATTTTAATTAATTAATTTTTTTTGTTCAGATAGAGTGGGAGGGAGAAAGAGAGAGAGAGAGAGAGAAACATCGACGTGAAAGGGACACATTAAGTGGTTGCCGCTGCATGACCCAACCAGGGCCGGGGACAAACTGCAACCAAGGTACATGCCCTTAGTGGGAACCAAAACTGGATCTCTCTGGACCGCAGGCTGACGCTCTAACCGCAGGCTGAGCAAAACCGGCCAGGGCTGCTGTTCTATTTTAATATCACTGTCAAATCCACACCCTCTTCATGTCCAGCACTGCCTCCTGAATGTACTCTCCTCATTTCCCTGGATTACCCATAACCCCATCTTATCCTTCTTGCCCTTCTCCCCGAAGGCAGAGATCCTTTCCAAATACTAACCTGCTTCTAACAGCCTGTATTTCAGATCTGTAGTATTTCTTTCCTTAACCTTCAGCTCTGGGCCCATGGGGCCTTGGCTTTGGGTACAAAGTACTACAGCACTCTGCCTGCTCTTTAGGCTTATCTCTGTCACATCACATGTATACAACACACCAGCCTTAGAGAAATTCTCCCTGGGCCCCAAATGCCATGTGCTTTTGTACAGCACAATTCCTTCTTCATGGATTACCCTTTTCCCTCCTCTCCAGTACTTGACTGGCTAGTTCATATTAATCCTCAGGACTCAGTTCAAGTCTAGCCTTCTGGGAAGCCATTCCTGACCCTCTTTGCCACCCTGCATACATTTTGATAGCCTAGGAGTCCCCTTATTTGTCTCCTAACAGCTTCCTGCGAATTGTTCCATCATGACCTATATTTCAGTTTGTAAGAAATGTTCAAGAATTGTGAGTTCCCTGATATCAGGAGACTGACCCTTTTCATATCATTGCTAAGCCTCAGTAAATGAGTGAATAAAAATTAATATCCCTGTCCTGCCAGTGTGGCTCAGTGGTTGAGCGTCGACCCATGCACCAAGAGGTCGCCAATTTGATTTCCCGGTCAGGACATATGCCCAGGTTGTGGGCCCAATCCCCAATGGGGAGCATGCAGGAGGTGGCAATCAATGTTGTCTGTCATCAGTGTTTTTATCTGTCTCTCCCTCTCACTTCCTCTCTCTCTAAAATCAATAAAGGAAAAAAAATTAATATCCCTGCAAGCATCATTTCTTCCTATCAACTAGGGGTGGGCTAGTAATCTACGAATCTCTGAATCATTTAAGATTTAGATAAATCCAGCAGGTGATCCACCCATACTCTTTCTTCTCTGTCCTGTACATGCTTTTGCTCAAGTACCTACGACACAGGGCTGGGCAATGAGTAAGTGCCTAATGAAGGTTTGATGAATGAAAGAGGCCTCTTTCCCGGCACTGTTCCTAACCTCAGGTTTCAGCCCTGCCCCTGTCCCTCTGCCCCAATAAGACAGCAGCCACAGCCCAGTCTGAAAGGTCAGTTCTATTTTATTAGTTCTGGGAGAGAAGACTCACATAATGGCCTCTATCTTTTTTCCCACACTATGCCCTCCCCATTTCTTGGGGCCCTCTCCCCACTTCTAACTATTCACCATCCTCTATCTAACCCTCTTTCCTCTTCTACTCCCTATATGGCCCTACCCCTGAAAAGCCAGGACCCCAAGACCAGGCCCTCAGCTGTGGGGGCGTGTGCTGAGCACCAGGCAGAGGGAGCTGAGCCCAGCACCTGCCTTCCCCAGTTCTGAGCAGGACACAGGTACCAGGGTGACATCAGAGAGCTTTTGCAGTGCCTGCAGGGAGGACACAAAGTGGGGAGATGGGAGTGAGACCTTGAGGCCACAGTCATGCCCCCCCACCCCCTTGCACCCACCTCAGAGTGGCCCATTCAGGTTTCTAGAGAAGGTATCCCTCCCTCCTCTTCCTACGAAGGCCTGAGACTCCTTCTCTGGTTGTTAGTGGTGGTGGAGCTCCTGCCTTTCCTCACCTCCTGGCTGTTGGGCAGATCCCCTGCTCCACGGTGCAGGAGGAAAGGGGGCACACCAGGCAACCCAGGACGCAGAAAGAGACAGTCAGCGGCTGCATCATCTGGGAGGGTCAGGGAGGCATAGGGGTGGTCTGTCAACACCGCCATTGCCTGGGTGTAGAGGAAAAAGGCAGCATTCAAGTCTCAGAGCCTCTCCACACCTGACACTAGCTGCCCTACCATGGCTAAGGGCTGGGACAGTTACACTGGTGGAATAATAATGACACAGCACTTAGTATGTGTCAGGCACTGTTCTAAGTGCTTTAGTTACCTTTGCTATTTCAACCTCAAACTCACATGCAGTTCTTTCCACCTGCAACCCTTTTCTCCCCATCTCCCCTTCTCCAGCCTCCATCTGTCGACCCCAACCGTCCTTGAAATCACAGCTTAGATGCCACCTTTGGGGATTTTTGGAAGACCCTGTAAATGTAAATCGACCCTGTTCCCTGATCTCCCATCTCCCTGTCCAGCTATACCTGTTTTCTCGCGTGTTTTCACAGTAGACAAACAGCTCAGTGAGGGCAGGGGCCATAGCTAATTTTCTGAGCCTCCCAGCCCCTCCTCCCTGGCCAGTAGCCACGCCCGCTTTCAGGGGCCGTGCCCCACCCTAGCCCCGCCCCCACTCACCCTGACCGCCTTCTGGGCGGCGTCACTGCTCCCCGCCACCACAGTGCGGGGTCCCCCCATGCCGCAGAAACTGCGCAGGTGGGAGGGGCTCGAGACCGGCACTGTGGAGACGGCGAAGTCCTAGGGCGAACAAGGAAGAGCACTAAGGGATGCGGGAGGGGTGAGGAAATAACCCCCAAACTTCCCTCAAACACAGGCTGCTCTCAGCCGCTCGCTCCTCAGCGCCCTGCGCCCCCTCCAGGGCTGTCCCGCTCCTACCCGGAACGTGTCAGCCACGATCTCGGCTCCTCGGTGATTGGTCCACTTGGAGAGGCCTACGAAAAACTCCCGGCCTGAGTGCAGGCGGCCGAAGAGGTGTAAGGGCGGGAGAGAACGCCTTGGAAACCAGATCCGCGATGGCCGGGTCTCCCAAACCCTGCCTCCCTGTGCCAAGCTCCAGGGATGGGCACCCCAGCCTCACCGGTGAAGAGAACGTCAGTGCCATCCAGCGTCGCGTTCTCGTCCCCCATCTCCACAATTCGGAGCCCCAGGTCCTGAAGGGCTTTGCGAATTCCATCCACCTTAGGAAAGAGAAAAGAGAGCGGGGCTGAGACATTCCCACCCCCAATTCTTCCCTAAAGCCCGGATGTCCAGTTCCTCCCTTCCTCCGACCTCACCGACCCTGGCACTCACCTCCGGCCTTCTGGCAGGACTCCAGGGCCGCGTGATTAGGGCCGTGTCCCCTTGGATCACAGCGGTGTCACCAAGCAGCGGTCCCAGCGGCAGCGACTCTTCAGGAGGCAGTTCTAGCAGCTGCAGCCCCAATCGCTGCCTCAGTTTACCCCCCAGCACCCCGTGCTCCCTCTGTGCTTTAGCCAGGTCCAGGGCCGGAAGGCCGGCACCCGCACCCTCCCCTGACGCCAGGCTCTCCGGGACCCCGCGAATCAGGGCATGGGTACAGCGGCCCAGCCCCTCCCCCGGCGTCCCCATCCCATCCACACAGACGCCCCCTCAGGCAGCGCTGATTTCTTAGTTTTCTCTTTTTACTTCACCTGTCTGGAGAAGAGATAGAATGGGGGAGACAGAGAAAGACATGCAGAGAAGGGTGTAGGAAGGTGGTTAAGAACGGGGGTCCTCCTTTAGCCATCTCTGGGTGCCCCTCCCACTCCTCTCCACCTCCTCCAGACCTTGCCTACCCCACTCCACCCGCACCTTCGCGGGTCTGCTTCTTTAAGGGGAGTCCAAGGAGCAAGACCAGATCCCCTAATTTCCAAAACACCTGTTGTCCCTGCTCTGGGGCTTCTTGAGATTCCT